AATCATACTTTTACATGTACCTAATACATTTGCTACTATATATATACTATTATACAATCTACAAAATATGGAAAAGAAATCAGAAAGTATATTTGGTGATATATTCGAATTGTTTTACGTATACATAAAACTTCTTTAATTTTTGCCAATTATAGTAGCATGTGAACATGTATATACATATACCAAAGACATATGCACTAATATTTCCCATTCCCAAATGTTAAGTTTTGAAACATTATGGAAATCAAAACTAGGCACTTTCTATTCACAATTATAATATGAAGCAAAAGAATCATATACTCAGTAACATATTCCTACCAAATTAAGCGCTTAATGGGAAAGACAGGTTGCAAATGAAGCTGTTATAAAGCGTCTAGAATCTAAAGCACTGGTGCACAAAAGCCAAAAAACATCACGAATAATAGAAAAATGACGATATAAAGTAGTGGGAGTAATACCAATAATTCATTGACAACAGGTAGTGAAGGAGATAGATGAATTCAATTAAGTCTCCCATAAAATCAAGTCTTACCACGCCAAAATCGTTTTCTCTTCCATTTGTTAATCCTCTTAGAAAACGACCAAAACGGGATAAATACAAGCAGAAACTACAGGTCAGAATTTAACTTTTAAGTAATAAATTTGTATTAAAGTAGACTGATATCATTGATAAATCTCGCATACGGTAATTTTCTCGCATACAGTTGTAGATTGACTTCAAGTAAAAAAAATTAGCGTTTGTGAAAAAGTAAGTCTAGTATTTTATTGTGTTAATAATTTCAGTTGTGTATAGAAGTCGCTGTTTTAATAGTAGTTGACTTTTAATAGTAATTGATTGTTAAAAATATATATACTTATTTAAACGTTTCAACAACGCAAATCCTTGAATTGGTGAATATGAACTAACAACCGCATCTCCAGAGACCAATCCGCCACGCCTTCGGCATTAGGCTAAGACCAACAATTGTCCACAGTGTATATTCTAGCAAGATAGAACTTACCTGGGAGTGTTACTTTATTTAACGATGAGGCAGAGTTTAATGTTTTACATGGAAATGGATAGCAAGTGGTAGGAGTGCCAAGGCCATGGCTGAGTCCAAAACTACTGTCTAGTTCGGTGAACCCCAAGTTGATGAGTCTGGAAAGCACTGCAGAGCTGATGACATGGTTGATGTTACCAAGAGCGATGCACAAAGATAGAAGGAAATGGGGCATGAGAAATAGTCATAAGCAATAAGGTACAATTGTTGTAGCCTCATATTTTCATCATTTAGCGGTGACTTTGAGGCCGCTGCAGCTTAAACTATGTTGTATCCTACTCTATTTCTTCTGCTCTATAAAGATGGTGGTGTTCATTTCCCTCTATCTACCTGTGTTGGTCTCTTTAACTTCCACCCTATCATTATTATTGCTATTACTATTTAGTTTTTATAGGTTGGTTAATGATTAACAGTATGGATGCACTAAGCTTGGGCAAATTGAAGATGATATTCTTGTAGATGATATTCTTGTCGCAAAAAATTATTTGGTCAAATTCTGTCCACGCAAATTTAGTTCTCGGGTATCTTTCTGCGCCTCTTAATTCTTTTTTTAAAATCATCTTCTGCACATAAAATTCTTTTGACCTTTCTGCGCACTTGTTTCATCATCTGTCCCCAGAATCTGTCCCGGCAAATGTTGACAAAATGATGTTTTCTGCACATGAAAAAATTTATTATTCCCCGCACAAGAAAAATACTCTACAGTCTGGAAAAGCACTGCTCTGAGTATAGCTGTATCTTCTTCTTCTTTCCTTCTTTATAGGGTTTTAGACTTTTGCATAGTCTATATCCCCTGGATCTTTTTTCTTTTCTATTCTTTCTTTTATATGATCTCTGTTAGTTTGGTTTTTCTTAAAAAGATTTTGGTGTGTCTAAGAGTATAAAACTTTTCTGTTGGGGAGAGATCTGCACCTGTGAATAATAAGTTTATGTTAGGGTTGATTACTTTGATTTTTCTTAAGGCTTCTTTCAATTTTGTTCTGCTGGAGTGGAATCTTGGACAGTGTAGGATTAAGTGTTCTATATCTTCTTCTTGATTATGACACCATCTACAGTAAGGGTCATTTGTTATTTTCATTCTATGTAGGTGTTTATTTAGTCTTGTGTGCTTAGTTATTATTCTAGTTATGCAGACATCTAATTTTCTATTTTTGGATCTTAACCATGGCTGCGGTTCTGTGTTCTGCAATAGATAATTCTTTGTGTTAAGAATTGTATTTAACTGAGTTTTCCAGTTTCTCTGGTTTTTTTTTTTCATCTGTTTTATCTGTTTTTTTGTGTCTTCATGTATGGTTATGGGATATCTTATTTTGTGTGCTTTTTTAGCTGCTTGATCTACTATTTCATTTCCCTTTATGTTTTTATGTGAAGGTATCCACTGTAACATTATTATTTGATTTTGATTTACCATTGTATATATCAATTCTTGTATTTCAAAAGTCATACTTTTAGAATTCTTAGGTTTCGGGTTAGATATTAGTTGAAGTGCAGATTTAGAATCTGTAAATAGTACTGATTTTGATAATTTGTTATTTTGTATGTATTTTAGCCCTTGTTTTATTGCAAAGAGTTCTGCTTCTATTATTTCTGTATTGTTTGGTAGTTTCCATATTGTTGTTATATTGTTATCTTGTATGTATATTTGCTGATGTGGAATCGTTGTTTATTTTCGAGCCATCTGTGAATAATTTTTTATAATTTCGATATCGTGTGTTTTCTAACATTATATATTGTGCTCTTATTATTTGTTCTGGGATATTTTTTGTTTGCTCATCTAAGAATTTTGTTTCTATATTTTTTGTAATATCAAACCAAGGTGGAATAGGGGTTATGTTTGACATTGTTTTTATCTTTATTTTCACTTGCAATTCTTTGTTTGTTTCTATTATTCTATGGATTAAGTTATTTTTATCCTTTTGAGGGTTATATTCTTTTATATTTTCTGTTAACATTTTTTTTATTTGTGTATTTTCTTTTTTTTCTAGTATTTTTAACATTTGGGTGAATTCTTTTTCTTTTAGTTTATTTTTGATCGACATTTTATTTGTTAGGGCATAGAGTGCATTTATTGGAGTGGTCTTTAAACATCCAGTGGCTATTCTCAAAGCTCCATTTTGAACTGTTTCAATTTTTTTTATTTCTGTGTCATTTGCTGTTCCATAAATTGTTATACCATATTCTATTTTTGGTTTTATGTAGATATCATAGAATTTTATCATTGTCTCTCTGTTTGCTCCCCATGTTGTTGTTGATAATTTTTTCATTATGTTTATTCTATTTGTACATCTAATTTTCAAGTTATTAATATGGTTTTTCCACTTTAGTTTTGGTGCGTCGAATTCGAGTCCTAGGATTGTATGTTTATTTGTGAATTTTAGTTCTTCATTATTTATTTTTATTATTGGTATTTGTCTTATTCTTTTTTTTAAAGCACATTACTTTGCTTTTAGTTAAATTTAATTTAAGCTCCCAGTCGTTAGCCCATTTTACTATTTTATTTAATCCTACTTCTAGATTGATTTTTGCTTCTTCTAGATTTTCATTTATTGTTATTATATTTATGTCATCTGCATATATTATTTTGTTGGTTTTTACTGTTAGATTTAGATCTGACATCATTATGTTGAATAGTAATGGACTTAATGGAGATCCTTGTGGAAGTCCTTTACTTATTCCTCCTTCCTCGGATTTTTGGTTTCCTATTATTATTTGGTAGGATCTATTATTTAAAAAATTAGATATCCATCTGAGAGGAGTACCCGTTATACCTAGTTTAGCTGCTTTTATTATTATTGCATCGTGGTTTACTTTGTCAAAAGCTTTTTCTAAATCTAGAGATGCTATTAGGGCATATTTTTTCTCTTTATAAGCTTTTTTAATATGAAAATCGATTATTTGTAATGTATCTATTGTTGAGCTATTGGGTCTGAAACCTGTTATGTCTTGACTTAGTTTGTTATTTTTTTCAAGCCACCATATTAGTCTATTGTTGATTATGCTTTCCAGCATTTTCCCTATACATGAGATTCTGCTTATGAATCTATATGATTTTTTATTTGCTGGATCTTTATCCGGTTTTAATATCGGATTTACAAGTGATTTCTTGAATTCTATAGGATATTCTCCTTTTATCCACAACTGATTATAGATGTTTAAAATTTTTTCCAGTAGGTTATTTGGGATATTTTTATAAAATTCATAAGGGATACTGTCTGGGCCACAAGCTTTATTATTTTTTGTCTTTTTTATTACAGAAATTAATTCTTTTAATGTTATCTCCTTTTTTAATCCGTTCGTACTTGGCAATTCTATTAAACTTTTAAATTCTGATTTTGTTATTAAGCATTTTGTTTTTGTGTTTATTATACTTTGGAATTCTTCTTTTAAGAGTTTTAATTTCTTTTTTGTTTCTTGTATTGGCTGATCATTATCTATTAGCGGGTAATTATTTATTCTATTACTGCCTGAAAGTTTCTTAATAAAATTCCATATTTTTTTGGTTGGGGTTCTAAAATCTAATGAGTGGCAGAAATTTGACCAACTTGTTCTTTTTTCCTTTTCTATTGTATCTCTTGTATAGCTGTATCTTGAAGTGCAAACTGAGGTGAAAACAATGTTACCAGGGGCTGTTTGGGGGAGGAGCCTTCCATCAACCCTCCCATCTGACAGTACTGAAGGGCAAGGCTAGTCACACAACTTAAATTATTGAAAAAATTGTTATGTGGATTTGGAGACTTATAGTCTAGAAAGTGCATCCATACTGTAAAAAATTACCTATAGGTTTTAAATTTTGGTTTAAATTTAGTTTTGGTAATATAAAGATATTTTCAGATCTCTAGAGAGAGGCATGGGAACATTAGCAAGAATTTCAAGAAGGCTTCATTATAATTGCAAGAATTTCTTATCTCCGCTGCAAGGTCAGTAGTTTGTCTTTAATTTGTAAATGGCTGTGCAACTCTTCAGTATCTGATCAGTGGATTGCCTCGTGTGTGCACTGATTGCAGATGAAGTCATAAACAAGATTGAAGACTCATCATGTGTATGTAGTCTCTTTTTGCTCTTGGTGTGAGCATGGAAAGCCACACAAAGCCAGTGCTGACTACACATGACATTCTGCAGTGTATGGGCTGAAGGTATACCTTGAAATAATTTTATTTGGTATAAATTTGTAATTTATACTTTGGTGAATATATAGATTCTTGTGTACCTATTGATATTCATATTTCATCAGGAATTGCTATGCAAAAATTGTCTTTATCCAATAAAACAGATGCTAGTTTGAATATTCAGCAGCATAATTGGACACCAAAACCTAGAAAGGCTTTGAAAAGGACAGGGATCAGAGACATATAAAGGTTGCTAATCTAATTTAGAAATAGGAAATCTTGGTCTTCTTTGGTTGAATATATTTGAACTCTTTCAAACTCCTATTCTTGTATCTTTTACTTTGTGTGTCTTTTTAATGAATTGACCATATGCTGTGGAAAAACTGAATGAAAATGTAGACATGGCAATACCCCATGGCCCAGAAGTCGAGATCCCTCATTTTGTCCCTATCATAGACCTTTTTTGGAGGGAATTAAGCTTAAGCTTGTATTAACTGTGTATATTAACCTTTTGCTGCTTGGGATATGATGTACATGCAAGCCATGCCCATTTTGAGTTTAGACTGTTAATTATGTTATCACATAGATGGCTTCACAAGAACTAGTCACCAAGGAATCAAGTAATAGCCCTATCTATCTCACTTGTGTACCCTTTTGATTTTTAGAAATATTAAAAAAAAAATTATATTACCATTAGTATTGTTAATAACAAAGTAATAATCATTATGTCAATAATGATTATAGCAGTATTGATATTCATAGTATTAGAAAAAAATCCTAAAAAGAAATCAAGTGAGGTCATGTTGGCTTCCTAGCTCATGGATCACTTGTGCAACTTTCTGTTTGTAAACATATTTCACAAACTATATCTACTCTAAACATTAGAAGTTCTTGGGGCAGTAGATTAAAAGTAGTAACCACAAGATAAGGAGTTATTTAATACTTTGATTTTTTGCTTCTGGCTGAGAGAGAAAGAGAGACAGAACAGACACAGTCACAGACACAGTCACAGACACAGTCACAGACACAGACACAGACACAGACACAGACACAGACACAGACACAGACCAGACACAGACACAGACACAGACACAGACACAGACACAGACACAGACAAGCACACACACACACACACACAGACACAACACACACACACACAGCACACACACATAACAACACACACACACACACACCACACACACACACACACACACACACACACACACACACACACACACACACACACACACACAGACACACACACATAGACACATAGAGACAGAGGCTAAGTCTTCATTTGATAAAAGTAATATTAATACCATTAATGTTGACAGAAACCAGAAAGGAAGGAGTTCGTGTTGACATCAATGCATCTTTATCTACAACAAGCAGGAGGTTTGATTCTCCTTCTGGAAATGATGAAACAGGAAAGCAGACCAATCTCAGTATTAAAAAGACACCAGAAACACCATTGCTTAAGCAGTTACAAGCACGGATAAAATTCTCAGGTATTGTTTGTTTTGGGAAAATTGTGTAATTATTTTTTGTTAGGAATGATAAGACTATAATTCAATCTGTCATTTCAGGTCCATTGACAGTATATGATTATATGAAAGAAGGGCTGATAAACCCACTAAGTGGATATTATGCAGCTGGCCAAGATATGTTTGGCAGTAAGGGAGATTATACGACATCACCTGAAATATCACAGATGTTTGGTGAGGTATGTTGCATCTCTCATTTTCTCCCCCCCCCTTTTCTCTCTCTCTCTCTCTCGCTCTCTCTCTATCTCTCTTTCTCCTCTCTCTCC